AGAAATATATACCTAGAAAAATATTTATAATACCATTGTTAATCATAAAGAAAAACTGAAAACTATGCAAATGTCTATTAATAGAGGAATCGTTAAATAAATTACAGTTCAGTGCCACTCTGGGAAACAGTTTGGCAATTTCTTATAAAACTAAACATGCACCAAACATATTACCCAGCAATCGCACTCCTGGGCGTTTATCCCAGAGAAATAAAACTCGTGTCCACACCAAAACTGCAGACGAGCTTCATAGCCACTTTATTCACAAGAGCCCCAAACTGGAAACAATCCCAGTGTCCCTTCAATGGGTGAACGGTTAAACAAACTGGAGTACATCCAGACCACGAAATACAACTCAGCAATTAAAAAATATATTGATACACACAACTTGGATGGGTCTCCAGGGAATTAGGCTGAGCAAAAAAAGCCAGTCTCAAAATGTTGCACTCTGTATGATTTGATTCATCTAACATTCTTGAAATAACAAAATTATAGAGATGGAGAACAGATTAGTGGCTGCCAAGGGTTAGGGAGGGGGCTGTGTGTCTGTAAGGAGGCAGCACAAGGGAGCCTTGTGGTCGTGGAACAGTTATGTATCTCGATTGTGGTTGTGGTTACAAGAATCTACATATCATAAAACTGCACAGAACTAAACACACACACACATATAAATGAGTGTATATAAAAGTAATGAAATCTGAATAAATTCTGAATTGTACCAAAGTCAGTTTCCTGGTTTTGATCTTGTATTGTAGGTGTGCAAGATGTTATCATTGGAGAAAATTCAGCAAAGCACATACAAAACCTTTCTGTACTATTTTTTTGCAACCTTCAGTGAATTTATCATTTCTTCAAAATTAAATGTTAAAAAAAATACAACATAATGGATTTCCATTTCACTATTAAAAATTATGATGTAGACAGTGATGCAGAAGAGGAGTACAGTGTATTGCCAAGTGGAAAAAGCAGGCTGAAAATAACACATATTAGATAACCACATTTATGGAAAATTAGGTTTATATGCATGCGTAAGCCTAAGAAGATATCCAGAAGAATGGTTGCCAAAATGTTCATAACATTATTTTGGAGAGGAGAGGTTTTTTCACTTCCTTTTTTATGTTTTCTGTATTATTTGAATTTTCTCTAACAAATGTGTATTACCTTCACAACAGAAAAGCAAATTTTTTTAATGCTTAGGATTTTTTTACATGCTCCAAATGACTATTTATCATTATGGAAAAAAATAACAGTGACATATTGCTTATGAAAAACAAAAAGCACGTTGCAAAACAATATAATCCAGGGGGCCGGCCCCTTGGTGTAGCGGTTAAGAGCACATGCTCCGCTGCTGGCGGCCCAAGTTCGGATCCTGGGCGCTCACCGAGGCACCACTTGTGAGGCCAAACTGTGGCAGCATCTCACATAAAGTGGAGGAAGATGGGCACGGATGTTAGCCCAGGGCCAGTCTTCCTCAGCAAAAAGAGGAGGATTGGCATGGATGTTAGCTCAGGGCTGATCTTCCTCACAAAAAAAAAAAACAACACAATATAATCCAGTAGGGGGTGAGCTCCTCAGCCCACCTGTTTTGTTCATCTGTATTTTCCAATGAACATTACCCTCTACGTTATAGTTATACATTTCTCAATTTTTCTTTAGCTCTTTAGATAGTTCATAAATTTACATCTTTCAAATATAAACAATAAATAAATACAAAAGGGTATAAAATGCAACACGTCCCTGCCTCCTGTGTCACCCAACCACTCGGTTCCAATTAGCCACCCCCAGGTAACCGCTGCATTAGTGTTTTGTGTATCTTCCTGAGCTTCTGCATACAAGTACAAGCAAATATGATTTCCCCCATTTTATTAAAAAAAAAAGTAGCATACTCTATACACTGTTCTTCGCTTTGCTTTTTTCACTTGAAAATACATGTTGGAGAGCTTTCCATAACAGTACCTAGAGCTTCCACTCTTTCTTTTATAACTGCATAGGTTAATGTTAATAGGCTAATAGGATAAATTGTGATTTTCTTTTTTTTTTTTTTAAAGATTTTATTTATTCAGTTTTTTTCCCCCCAAAGCCCCAGCAGACAGTTGTATGTCATAGGTTCACATCCTTTTAGTTGCTGTACGTGGGACTCGGCCTCACGTTGGACGGAGAAGTGGTGCCTCGGGGCGCTCCCGGGATCCGAACCCAGGCCGCCAGCATCAGAGCGCGCGCACTTAACCGCTAAGCCACGGAGCCGGCCCAATTGTGATTTTCTTGAGTCCCCTGTTAATAGCCATTTGCGTTGGCCCCAGTCTTTTGCTCCTACAAACAGTACAGCTGCCCTTACATCATTTCCCATAAGTGCAAGTTCCCCATCTGCCCCTTTTTATCCTGGGTCAGGCTTTTCCTTATTAACTTCTACAAACTCTTTGCATAAGAGGAAAATTAGCTCTTTATCTATTACATGAGTTGCAAATATTTTTCCTAGTTTGTCATTTGCCTTTTAACATTACGTATGGTCGTTTTTGCCATGTGGAAAAGTCTATATAGATGTGTGTTGAATAAAAATTTCCAGTATTTTCTCTTTTGGCTTCTGGATTTTGAGTTATAGCTAAAAGTTATAGTTTTAGCTAAAAGTTTGAGTTATAGCTAAAATCCCGTATGTGGCCCCACCTGCCCCCACTCCAACACTACGATGGAATTCTCCTAAGTTTCTGCTAGTACTTTTAAGGTTCCATTTTTCACACTGGAATCTCCAGTCCATTTGCATTGATCCTGGAGTACCGTGTGAGATATGGATTCAATTTTTTTTTCCAGGTGGTCATCCACTTGTCTTAAAACTATTAATATATCTATTTATTTTAAAAGAGAATAGGGCCGGCCCTGTGGCTTGGTGGTTAAGTGCGCGCGCTGCGATGCTGGTGGCCCGGGTTCGGATCCCAGGAGCGCATGGAGGCACCACTTCTCCGTTCATCCTGAGGCCAAGTCCCGCATACAGCAACTAGAAGGATGTGCAGCTACGACATACAACTATCCACTGGGGCTTTGGGAGGAAAAAATAAAATAAATAAAATCTTTAAATAAATAAATAAATAAATAAAAGAGAATAGAGGCTTTGGAGTCATGGAGTGCTGGGTACTTATTTCCTTGGCTACTTGGTTATTTATTGGGCTGCATTACCTCGGGCAATTCACTTACCCTCTCAGAACCTCAAAGATGAGGGAAAAGGCTTGGGGAGACAAAGGAAGGCGCTGAATGAAACAATTTGAAACGTTTCAAGTGAAAAAACTGAGGACTTGATAGTGTAGAAAAAAGACATTGGACCATCTTGTCCACCCCCTTACGGTACAAAATGGGAAACTGAGGCCCAGACAGTGGTATGGATTTGACCTCCAGAGTATGAACCCTAATGCTGCTCCCAGGCAGACACAGCGAGAAGAGGAGCCTAACCCCACCACGCAGCTGGGAAAATCGAAGCCAAAGCAGAAGTGACACCTGCTCTAGGCACCCCAAATAGAAGTTGTGGTTTCCATCCCCTTTCCCAGGAGCAAACCACCATCTTCACTTCCGCTTGCGACCGTCAACATCCCTCTCCCCACCCCTTCGGAGAGGCCACCACATGCTATTAACCCAGCCCTCAGCCATCTCATTCTCCGCCCTGCACTTCGTTATTTGGGGCCCTCTGGGAAACAGGAATCCCTTACCTGACTTCCAAGGTGGTTCCAATTGACTGTGGGGAAGCTGACTGCCACACAAGAGTTTGCCCAGGGCGCTACAGCAGGCCAGTGGTCAAGCCGGGACTCACACCTCGGGGGGTGGGCGGAGGGGATGTCCAGACTCCAAGTCGAATGCTCTCCCTCCCACACACCGCAGCCTCCCAAAGATGGCTGGGCGCCTGAGTTGCCACGTGGATGAGCAAGACCCTATTTAGGCAGATAGAGAGATGAGGAGATATTCAGAGAGCAGAACAGAGCCCTTGGATGCAAATTTGATCATTACTTCCGGTATTCAGTGCCTGGGCTGTGACATTGGGCAAGGAACTAGACCTCTCTGTGCTTCGGGTTTTCTCATCTGTAAAATGAGGCCAAAGAGTTCTATTTCCCAGGGAGAGAGACTCAAATAACCATTTCCATGATCCACACTCCTGCAAATCAGGGCCTATGGCGGGTCCAGGGCCCTGACCCAAAGTCCATGGCCAGGAAGACATCTGAGCACGAGACTTGGGGACCCCTGCCTTCCTCTCTGGAGCTGACTGTGCACCCCGCAGCCCATCCTCTCCCCAACAGCACCAGGTCCTGCCGAGCCAGCCACGCTCCCGTATGTGGCCCCACCTGCCCCCTCCAAACCACAGGCTGGCGCCCCCCTCTTGGCCTCGCCCTGGCCTGGGTGAAAAGGGAAACTGGTCTCTGCAGGAAAGCCCTGATGGGTGCTATTATTAGCCCCATTTCACAGGCAGGGAAAGGGAGGCCACACCAAGGCCCAACCGGGAGTCTGTGATGAAGCCAGCACAGAGCCACTGCCCTGAGCCACACTGTCCCCCGGCTCCATCCGGGTTGCTCTGCCAGGAACTGCACCAGCTCCAATCTGCCCAGCACAACCTCTGTGCCAGGCCTGTACTGAGCACCTGAGGGGCCCTCACCCCTGTCACCTGCAGTGCAAGTTACCAGACTAGCCCATTTTACAATGAGGAAATTGAGGTCCAGAAAAGAAAGGTCCAATCACTTGTCCCAGGCCCCATGGGGGGAGCTAAGATTTGAACCCAGCACCTACCCACTCCTTAATTTAAATTGCCTCTTTTGTCAAAAACATAGATCTCTACAGTCCCCTAGATCTGGAGTGGCCACCAGGGCAACAGGACTGGTGAAAGGAAGGAAGGTGGGTCCCCAGCTTGCGGCTCCTGGGATGTCACCAGCCAGGTGCCCGCCTGGGCAAGGGCACGCCAGTGCCTGCTGGGGAAGCCGTGGATAAGGACAGAGCTGGGGGAGTGGGGAATAGAGGCCCTGGGGGCTGACCTGTGAAGCTGGCGCCCGCTGCCGCTGCTGTCTGCAGTCCCGCCGGCTGCCGGCTGCCAGAAGAAAGGGAAGTCAGAAGCTCTGTGCTGCTGGGGCCTCCCTGCTCTGTTGACCCCAAGCCCTCACAGCACACTCCCACTTCACTTCTTCCCCCAGCAGCAGCCTTCTGGCTTCCTCTGAGCTGACATCACCCCCTGCCCGCCCCTTGATCTCAACCCACGCAGCCTGCAGCCCTTCCCGGGGGCGGCCGCACCTCCGCGGAGGGGCTCGGTGTCTCTGTGGAGAGGGAGGGGGGCTGGCCAACGTGGCACCCTGCAGAATCTGACAGCACCTCAGCTCTGTGCCCTTGGGTAAGAGATGTCACCTCTCTGGGTCTCAGTTTCCCCATCGGTAGCGAGGGGAGAATGATCCCTGCCTGACCTGACGACCAATGAGATGGATGATGGCAAGGACCTCAGCTAAGGGCTGGGTCACACTGCCTGGGTTCAAATACTGGGCCCACAGTTTACTGGCTGGGTGACTTTGGGCAAGTGACTAAACCTCTCTGAACCTCAGTTTCCTCTCTGTAAAGTGGAGATAATGACAGTACCACCTCATAGGGTAGTGTGGGGCTTATTAAAGGTGGTGTTGCAGAGTCACCGGAAGCGCTCCATGATGCCCTCCTGTTCCACAGCTGGGAAGCTTGAGGCCTGGAGTGGGTGAGGGCGGAGCCCGGAGCTGCCCTGTGGCAGAGCCCTCTGGGGAAGGGCCTCAGTGGGAGCAGAGCTCAGAAAATGCGGCCAGAACTGGGGGCCTGGAAGGCTAACCAGCTTCTCCTCCAGCCAGGGGTCTGGACAAGCCTGTCCTACACCAGCCGCCTCCTCCCCGGAACCCTAAGGGGAGGCGTCTGCGTGCGCTGGTGGGGAGACAGTGCTCTCTCTTGCCTGGGCCCCAGCCAGACTCCGTGGGAAAATTCTGACTCAGGAATGTGCTTTTCTACCCCTGGGGTGGGATGGGGATGCAGCAACAGGGAGAAAGAGGCAAGTCCCAACACGGTCTCCCCCCTCTGCCCCCACCCCGGGACCCTTCCAGCATCAGCCCCAGCGCAGCCCACAGGGAGCTCAGGTGGCCTCTGTGGGGAGGGGGAGGGGAGCGGCTCCTTGGAAGGAAGGGGCATCTCAGGGAGGCGCAGGCCCATGTTTTCGGGCCCCCCACCCCAACTGCAGTGCAAAGGCTTTGCAGGGACACCTGTGCACCTGTGTCCTGACCCTCAGCCACACTCCTCCTGGGTGATTTGACAAACCCTCGTCCTTCTCTGCACTTTGGCCGTGACCCAGACCTTCACCTCCAGGCCCTTCCTCTCTGAGGTCTCCTAGCCACCTCTAGGGTTGCAACACCAGCAGCCCTCCTCCTCAAGCTATCTGCGAGCCCAGGCGGCTGCGCTTGGGGCCGAGGAGGAAGCCCCTCTATTTTGCATCCTGGGTCTGTGCCAGCCTCACTGTGCCCTGCCTCACTTGAGGGTGCTTGTTATGTAGCCCTGCACTCCAGATCCTGGAACTCACTGCCAAGACCCTCCCCAGCTTAAAAGCCAGCAGTGGCTCCCTATTTCCTTCATGGTCCAGTCCCAGCCAACTTCTACTTCCACCCAGTTCTGGATGTGCTTGCCTATTTATACCCCTCTCCCTGTTCTGTCCCAGCTGGGACACACACACATATACCTGGATAGCACTAAACCTGCTCTCCATCCCTCAGGGCTCAGCTGGAGCCCTGCCTCCTCTGAGACAGCTTGCCTGCCTCCAACTCCCCCATAAGACATTCCAGATGCTTCCACATTAGGAGGTAATGCAAGCCCCTTGTTCAGTCCCCCAGGCAGGGGGGAGGGCAAGCCACCTCCCATTCCCCACCCAGGGGGAGAGCCATACACCATCCTTAGGGAAGTGTCTCCCCATGGTGGGGGGCTACTCACCTTGGTGATCTGCGAGAGGACAGTAAGTGGGAGCCCCGACAGCACATTAGATAAACTGAGTCACACCACGAAAAAGTCATTTACGTTTCAGTCTTTCTCAATCCCGGCTGCATCCAGGAGAAGCCTCTGTTAGAGCTAAATTGTCTCTAATTCTTCTCGACCACTGCCTTGTGTTTTTTTTTTTCATTCTTCAAGCTTTTTTGGACATAGAAAACAGGATACCAGATTTTTAATGATTTTTTTATTGTAGCAAAATATACATGACAAAATTTGTCATTTTAACCATTTTTAAATATACAGTTCAGGGGTATTAAGTACATTCACATTGTTGTACAACCTTCACCACTATTCATCTCTAGAACTTTTCCATCTTCCCAGACTGAAACTCTGTCCCCATTAAAGAATAACTCCCCATTCCCTCCTCCCTCCAGCCCCTGGCAACCACCATTCCACTTTCTGTCTCTATGGATCTGACTACTCTAGGAACCTCATAGAAGTAGGATCATACCATATTTGTCCTTTTGTGACTGGCTTATTTCACTTAGCATAACGTCTTTACGGTTAATCCATGCTGTAGCATGGGTCAGAATTTCCTTCCTTTTTAAGGTTGAATAATATTCCTTTGAATGTATAGACCACATTTTGTTTATCCATTCATCCACCAACAGACACTTGGGTTGCTTCTACCTTTGGGCTATTGTGAATAATGCTGCTAAGAATAGGGGTGCACAAATTATGTCCCTTTTTACACAGAGAAAGTTTCTAGCTAGATCAATGATGTTGCTTGTTTATGTGATATTTATTTTTATGATTTTCTTCTATTTACGGCAACTGATACAGACATCCTATTTACCCTATGATACACTTATGTACTAAAAGGTGAAAAGATATAAAGAAAAATGCTAAGTAAATAATGGCACAAGTGCTGTGTGTTAACGGCAAAGTGGTGGCAGAGATACAGAATGGAGAAGTGCTGAAGTGAAGGAAATACTAACGCAAGCCTCAATCAAAAACCCCACTGTGTGTTGGGCCGGCCCCGTGGCTTAACGGTTAAGTGCTCGTGCTCTGCTACTGGCAGCCCTGGTTCAGATCCCGGGCGTGCACTGATGCACCGCTTGTCCGGCCATGCTGAGGCCGCGTCCCACATACAGCAACTAGAAGGATGGGCAACCATGACATACAACTATCTACTGGGGCTTTGGGGAAGAAAAACAGGGGAGGAGGATTGGCAATAGATGTTAGCTCAGAGCCAGTCTTCCTCAGCAAAAAGAGGAGGATTAGCACAGATGTTAGCTCAGGGCTGATCTCCCTCACCAAAAAAAAAAAAAAAAAAAACCCCACTGTGCTGAGTTGGGGAGAGAAACCCCTCATGGCCACTAGGAGGCTGGCACCAGATTAGCACTGCATCCAGAGGCCTGCCCGAAGTGTGGTTTTAGGAACAGGAGTGACAATCGGGGCTCTGAGACCTCCCAGCTGTGACCCTGGGCCTGTCCCTTGACTTCTGATCCTCACTTTTCTCACCATGAGATGGTGGTAACAACCTCCAGCTCACAGGGTGGCTGTAAAACTGAGATAACCCATGTGAACTGCCAAGCCTGTGCTCAGCACCCATCTTGGTTCCATGAGTGGGTGGCTCCCCCCACACCACCCCCTGCAAGAAACTCCCCTAAGACAGTATTTTCGTGTCCTCTCTTATGAGAGAGCGTCCAACTGTGATGACGTTATAATTGAAGCTTAGGTTCACCATCAGCTCAGCTTCCTCCACCTTCTCCATCCCTTTCCCCACCTCCAGAAACTCTGGGAAAGAAGCCTGGGCTCTTGGTCCCTGGCCGTGCTTACTGGCTGTGGGTCTTTGGGTAAGTTTGAGGCAAAAGCCTCCCTGAGCATTTCCCCAGCTCTAAACTGGGGACATCCCTGTCCTCTGAGTACTCCATATCTGAATCTCACAGGTCCCAGGAGCACAGCAAGCAAAACTCAGCCACTGCAACATTTACAGATCAGTTCCCTGTCAAACACCACGAACCCGCACCAAAATCTGTCTCTAGGCGATTGTCAGATGCTACCCACGTTTCCCCGTGCAAATACAAAGCAAATGAACCAACAGAGAAACTGCAAACTTTGCAAAAAGCGTGGGATTTTATGAAACTGATGGAAGTGATGCGATAGAACGGAGCAGCAGCTGACCACAGAGGAAAAGAAACGACCAAGACCTTCCAGAGAGAATTGTTTGACTCTGAAAGGATTCAGAGTGACCCTTGGATTTGAAACTCCCAAATATTTTTGCAAAAATGAATCGCTTGCCGCAAAGAGCTGAGTCTTCGTGCATTCTAATGCGTGCGTGGTTACAATCGTAATCTAAATATTGTTAATTACGGGTTAAAACGAATTTATCTTCATCATTTTTATTCTATTTCGAGGTAAAGTCTCAATCAGGCCGGGTTCCAGTCAATATCTGTGAATTTCTGGTCCTCTTTTTACATGGATTTACCTCCCTCGGCCTCCCGGCACCCGCCCCACCCTCTCCCGCCCAAACCGCAGACACCCTACTTCCGAGGGAGGAAGCCCCAAAGCGCCCCGGCACACGAAAGGGCGCCTTACGGTAACTGCCTCAGGGGCTGCGCGGCCCGGCCACGGGCTTCCTACTGCCGCAGGCAGGAAGCACCACTGCACTCGGGAGACCACCCGGTGGGCCAGGCGTCCCCCCACGCTTCTCAACACGAGGGAGGTGACTTTGTTCAGCCCTTTTGTTGTATAAAGGGGAAACTGAGGCCCGATAAGGGGCAGAGACTTGCTGCTCCACGTCCACTCGGTGGCAGAGGTGGCACCAGGAAAAATGCAAGTAACAAAAGTGAACACTTGGGGAGCACGCTCCACGTGCTGAACCCGGAGCAGACGGTGCCCACGTCTGCTGCGGGGCGCCTAGTACGTCGCTGACGCTCGAGAAACCTGAAGCGGGAAAGCCGAGCACCGCGGGGCCCCGGACCCTGCCTTCCGTCCCCCCACTCTCGGCCCCATGCGGGGGTGGGGCCTCTTGTCCAGGTCCGGCCCACTCCCTAGCACAGCCCGCGCCCCTCGCCCCAAAGTCAGGCTGGTGCCCCCATCCCAAGACTCGGCCGGCCGGGGTCACAGCCCGGCCGCAGTCTGCCCAGGCCCCCCGCCCCCGCCCCCGCCCGGCCGTCTCCTCTCCCTCCCCCTCACCCCCCACCCCGAGGGAGGAGGAGACTCCGCGGCCCTCCCTCGGCCCTCCCGGCGGCGGCCGCAGCAAGCCCCGTGCCCGCCCCGCCCAGCCGCGGCGGCTCGGACGTCCGGAGCCCGTGGGTCCCCGGCCGAGGTGAGCGGGGACAGCAGTGCAGGGGGCGGAAAGCCACCGCGTCCCGGGAACTCCCTCCAGGCCGCGAACCTTCCGCGGGAGGGAAGGGGTTAAGTTGGAGGCGTGCTGGAGGAGAGGGGAGCAGCGGGGGCTCCCGAGTCCGCAGCAACCCCCAAACTCAGCAGAACTTTCTAGTCCCCTCCCTGGGCTCCCCCACCTCCCGGGGCTCCCAGCCTCTGGTGTGGAGGGGCTGCCAGGGTTGGGGGGAGGGCAAGACCGCCTTCGGAATGCAGCGGGCCGGGGCCGGACGGGAGGGGGCGGCGGGCGGGGGCGGAATTTGGAACGCTCCCAGGGGACCCACGTGGTCACCACGGCGAGTGCGGGATGGACGGGCGGCGCGGGCCAATCGGAGCACGGCATCCGCGCCCCAGGCCCGCGGCGGTCGCCAATGGGGGCCGGGCGGTGGGGTGGGCGGGACCGCGCCGCGCAGGGCTGGGAGACCCCGCACGCCGCTAGGGGGAGCGGGGTGGCTGGCCGGGGCGTGCGGCTGGGGAGGGGGCGAGGAAGTGAGGACTAAGAGGCGGCTCGTGGCAGTGGGAGGGCAGAAAGCGAATTTCTGGAAGGAGTAGGGGCATATGGAGCGACGGCTCAGTGCGAGGACAAGGGAGTGGGCCTCCGTTGCCCTACCGTTCTGATGGTGCCAACCGGTGCTATCTGTCCAGCCCGTTCCCCACCTGGGGCTTCAGTTTTCCTGTCTTAAGTGGCGGCTGTACAAGGTTGTGTGGGGCTGGCATAGTTCAGGTTAGTACAAGGTCTGCCCACTTGTTCGGCGGAGCTTTTAGGAATCTTGTTAATGCCTCTCCCCATCGTATAGTTAAGGAAACAGACGCAGAGAGTGCAGGGACTTGTAGATATCACACAGCATATCAGCGGCAGAGCAGGGAGTAGTGGAGTGTCTGCTGTGCCGGAGTGAACGGTTCAAGGAGTTGCTGAGAGCCCCAGAGCTGGGGGTCGGCCCCCATGAAGGGCGTCCCCCCTCCCATACCAGCTATGCCTGGCCACTTGGTCTGATGCCTGAGGACCCCATCGTGAAGGTGGTCCCAGGGGCATCTTGCCCCTCAGGTAGTCATGACTCAGGAGGGGAGGCATCCAGTCCCAGCACTGCAGCCCCTCACCCCCCGGCTTTGCTGCTGGTCCTCTATGTGCATGTGGACAAGTCGCGGCTCCTCTGGGCCTCGGTTGGCCCATCTGAAAAGAAAGGAGTTCCAGTCAGTGGTCCAGAGTATCTTTGTGGCTGCCGGATCTGAGATGGGGGTACCTGGGAACAGGCCAGGGGGTGCCTTCCCTGGGACTCAGGTCCAGCCTGCAGGCCCAGCTCGCCTCCCTCCTGCCCTCTCAGGCCTCTCCTGGAGGTCCAGCGGGTGGAGCCCGGGCAGCTGGTTGCAGGGACAGGTGCCCGTAGTTTGTGGCTGACCAGCCTCGGACCCTGCACTTATCCAATCAGGCTGTCCTCTGTGGTTTCCTGCCGGGCTCTGCTCCTGCCCACAGCCAGGCCTGTGGCCATGGGCCAGCCCCGGAGCCCTACCTGAAAGGTTCTGGGAGGACAAAGGGGGTTTCTGAGCTGGAGGGAAGAGTTGGGCCACTAGGCACGCCGCCAGTCCCCTCAGCTGGCCCCCATCCAGACCTCAGCATTGCTCACTCCTCTTGCTGGTTGTTGAGAGTCATCTAAACACATTAAGGACTAAACACAAAGTTGTCCCCATGTGGGCCAGTTAGGCTTCCTCAGGTAAGAGGCCTGACCCCTGACCTGGCCATGGATGACCTCTGACTGTTCATCTTCCATCCATCAGCCCGGGAAGCATTTATGCAGCATCTGCTGTATGCTGGGCCTTGTGCTGACAGCCAATAAAACCAAGATGCCCTTGTGGACTTCACAATGTGGTCATTGCTGAAGAGCAGGGAGGTGCCAGTGCTTTGGGAGCAGTAACATACTCTGTGTACGAGATCAGGGAAGGCTTCCCAGAGGAGGAGAAACCGAAGGTGGGTCTTGAAGGATGTGTAGGAGTTTGCTGACGGAGAAAGAAAGAGGGAGAGACATTCCAGACAAGTCCACAAGCAACAGGAACCACTGGTCACTTTCCGTGGACAGGGCTGATGAGAGCCTAGCCTGAGGCAAGTATCGGGTCCAGACATCCTTGTTTCTGTCCTAGAGCGGGCCAGCAGCTGCCTGGAGCAGTGAGGATGGCTGTGGGGCTGGGGTGCAGGAGTTCTGAGTCCCACTCAGCCCTGCTGCCCAGCTAGGGGGGCGCCAGGTCACAGTTCAGCCTTCTGCTCTCCACTCCACCAGCCAACTTTAAGCAAATCCTGTAGGCACAGTCTGTCCTAGACGCTCTGGGTGGCACGAGTGTCCTGTCTGGGTGGGGGGAAGCCTGTGCTGCAAGAGAGAGGGCAGCTGGCCAGATCTGGCTGTGCTCCCTGGGTAGTGGGTGGGGCTGGAGAGATCAAGGCATTTCCTGGAGGTGGTGGAACTGAGCTAGAAGGATGCGTGGGGAGTTCTGAGTCGGGCGCGGGGGTGGGGGGCATTCTGACTGGGGGGAACAGCCTGAGCAGAAACCCTGAGGGTTAGAGCAAGAAGAGACCCGTCTGGCTGGTGGGAGGCAGGAGAGGGGAGGGTGGGGTGAAGAAGGCTCCCTGGGGCCTGTGGTGGCTGCTCCCTCCCTGACTGCTCCTTGGGGGGCAGTGATGCCCTGGGGGAATTAGGAGCTTACCACGCACATATGCACACCCCATGGGAAGAAGGCACTGAGCCTGGTGGGGAGGGGCGGCAGGGCAGGGCACCTGGAGTCTGTCTCTGTAACTGTGAGCTGAGCCTGTGTGGCATGGGACTCTTGGTGAGTGTGTATGTTACCAAGGCTGTGTTATGTGAGGGGTGGGGGTGAGGGGAGGCGTTGCTAGGCAGGGTCTGGCTGCCCTTGAATCTGCATGGGTCTGCAGGGTTCCTGGTGTGCTGGGGGAGGGAGGGGGGGCTTCTCCAGAAAACCAACCTTGGGAGCCCACCCCCACCCCTTCCCCTAGGTGTGCACATACACCTTCCAAGAGACCTTGGCCTGCAGGAGGGCAGTTCAGAGCCCATCTGTCCCCCCTGCTCCCCTTCTTCCTCAGCCCCCAGGAGGGGCCAGGCCAGACTGCTGGGGAGGGGAACAGGAGCTGAGTCTGGAGCCCACCCCTGCCTTTAGCATGCGCGCCTGGAAGCCATTAGGAGCCTGGGTGGCGCCTGCCCTGCCCCTACGCGACAGGCTTGGGATTCCTGGAAGGAGCGGGCTGCCCCTTCCCTGCCAAGCCCATGCCAGGCTTGGCAGCTCCTATAGGCAGAGAGGATGTGACGGTGGCCCCATCCCCGCCACCGTCTCAGTTTAGGGCTGCAGGAAGGGCCCAGCAGACAGGGCCCAGGCCCAGGCCCCACTGCTAGCACAGCTCAGGGCTGCCGGGCTGGCACTCGGATTTCCTGTCTCTGTCCCCTCCCCCGCAGGCTCTCACATTGTTTTTCTTTTCCAAGAGCTTCTCCACGTGGAGCTGGGCCAGGAAAATAGGGAGAGGAGGAGTGTGTGTCCCTATGCGTGTTTGTGTGTATGTATGCGTGTGCATCTCCTTGACTTAGGACTGTGTATCTTTGCATGTCTCCATGTGTGTCCATCTGTATGTTGGCCTGTGTATGTCTTCAGGTGTGTCTGTTACTCTGTACCTACAGGTGAGCATCTCTCTGCATCCGTCTAGTTGTGCGTGCATATGGGTCTGTTTCTGAGTACATGTGTCAGCCCGTGTCTTTTGTGTCTGTTTATGTGTGTGGGATTGCGTGTGAGTCTCAGATGTGCCTGGGTTTGCACAGATGTCTGTGTGAACATGTGGGATCAAGGCCAGCCACCTCATTGCACAGGTGGAGAAACTGAGTCACAGAGAAGACCCTCGGCTTGCCAGTGGTGTGTGGGGCCCTGAGAGCTGTATGGCAGTGTCTGGGTGCATAACTGTCTGTGCAGGTGTCGCTGGGGTTGTGACATACTTGTTTGTGTGTATGAAACTATGGATGGTGACAGAACATCACTAACTACTCCCATGTCCCAAACTTGGACGATTCAATGCGGATTCCCAGCCCCACCCCCCTGAACATGACTCTGGGGGGTGGGGCCCAGGAACTGCATTTTAAGCAAGTGTCCTGGTGAATCTGAAGGACCCCTTGATCAAGAAGCACTGGTCTCCCTCACCCTCTATCCCCGTTCTACTGGTGGAGAAACTGAGGCCCAGAAAGGGGCAGTGGCTTACGTGAGGTTATGACAGAGCCGGGCCTAGTGCTGATGCCTGGTGAAGGCAGGCAGACAATAAACAGACAGCAGATGGACTAGAGAATGCAGTAGGATCGCTGAGCAGCACCGAGGAACCGGGACGTAGTGCTCGTGAATTTAAACTGACACTGTCCCCATGGCGGGGTAAAACCTGCGATGCCGGGTTATACAGGGGAGGGCAGGAGCAGGCAGAGCAGTGGAGGTGACCAGGGTGGGCGTTCCCTGGAGAGACAAGGACAGGAGAGGGGGCTGGGGCACCGCAGGCAAGATTAGGACCGTGGAATGTGAGCTGGGCCAGGGGAGAAGGGACCGAGTGGGTGGTGCCGACAGTGAGCAGGTGGTGGGATTGGTGGTTAGCTCCTTTGGGGATTGAAGGATTTTCGGAGTTGGGCATCCCAGAGGGAGTGAGCTTGCAATTGACACTAGAGAGGGGTCAGAGCTATTGGTAACGACAAAAGGTGTGCCCACTGGCATGATCAGGTTTGCATTTTTAAAAACTCTCTGGCTGCTGCTGTTAAGAATGGAGGGCCGGCCCTGTGGCTTGGTGGTTAACTGCGCGTGCTGCGATGCTGGTGGCCCGGGTTCGGATCCCGGGTGCGCATCGAGGCACCACTTCTCCGTTCATCCTGAGGCCGAGTCCCGCATGCAGCAGCTAGAAGGATGTGCAGCTACGACATACGGCTATCCACTGGGGCTTTGGGGGGAAAAAATAAAATAAATAAAATCTTTAAAAAAAAAAAAAAAGAATGGATTTGGGGGCCGGCCCAGTGGCGCAGCGGTTAAGTGCACATGCTCCGCTTCAGCGGCCCAAGGGTTTGCAGGTTCGGATCCTGGGCACACACCGACGCACCACTTGTCAAGCCATGCTGTGTTGGCGTCCCATATAAAGTAGAGGAAGATGGGCACGGATGTTAGCCCAGGGCCAATCTTCCTCCGCAAAAAGAGGAGGATTGGCAACAGATGTTATCTCAGGGCTGATCTTCCTCACACACACACACGCAAAAAAAGAATGGATTTGAAGGGGCCTCCCCGTGGCTGAGTGGTTCAAGTTCTGCGCGCTCCGCTTCAGCATCGCAGGTTCACTGGTTCAGATCCTGGGTGTGGACCTACGTCACTCACCAGCCATGCTGTGGCGGTGCCCCACATACAAAAAAATAGAAGAAGATTGGCACAGCTGTTAGCTCAGGGCTGATCTTCCTCAAGCAAAAAAAGAGGAAGACTGGCGACAGAAGTGAGCGCAGGGCAAATATTCCTCAGCAAAAAAAAAAAAAAAAAAAAAATTGGATTTGAAGAAGGCAAAAGTGGTTGGGGGAGGGGGTGGGCGGCGGTGACTGCAGTCGCCCAGATGGTGGCCTTGACAGGTTAGTGGCTGAGTAGGAAGAAGGTGGATAGCTCTATGTGATGTGTGGCAGACTGACAGGACTTGGAGGTGGCAGGTTGGGGGCTCAGAGAGCAGATTCCAGAATGTTCCCCATAGCACAAGGGAGTGAGGAAGTGCTCTTTTCCCAGAGGGGCCATCCAGAAGGAGGAGCTGGTTGTAGGGGGAATGGAGACGGTGAATTCCGTTTTGACCAGAGTCTGAGTTGTCTGCATGACATCCTAGTGGGGGTGTGGGAGGTTCTGGAGGGCAGCCTGGCTGGAGAGAGATTCAGGGGTATTGAGGAAATTGCCAAGGCAGCGGGAGAGGAGAAGGGGGCCCAGGACCAGATGACACCAGCACTCAGGGGATGAGCCCAGGTTGCCTACCAGGATGGGGAGCAGCTGGAGAACGTCCTGGAAGAGAGTGATGCAGAAAAGCAGGAGGGACGGATGGCGCCCAGAGCTAGAGAGGGCACATGGGAGAGGGCTGAGACGTGCCCAGTGGGTAGAGCCGTGGGGCTGGAAGCCAGCCTGGCATGGCCTGATGAGAGAGGGTGAGGGAGGTGGGCAGGGTGGAGACAGCAAGTTTGGACCACTCCGGATGGGCCTTGAAAGGGAGGAGAGAGGTGAGGCGAGAGGAAATTGCTGGGAGAGCTTCAGCAGGGGTGAGGCCCCCTGGAGAGGGCATCATTGGCAGGGATGGGAGAAGCTGGAGGAGGGGGACCTTTGACCCAAGGAGGGAGAGCCCCTCTGTCCTCTTAGGGGCAGAGGGGAGGGGGCCATGAGGCTTGGGGCAGGACAGGGAGGGAGTGCCCTTTTCACTGCAGACTCGGACATCAGATCACCTGCGGAGAGTGAGGGGGTCAGAGGCTGAAAGAGGGTGAGGAGGGGACACAGGGTTGGCCAGGCAGTGTTGGGACCAGCCGGTGTTGAGGCCTCTGCCGTGGTGCTGAGTCCCACCAGCAGTGCACTGGCCCCTCAGAACAGGGAGGGATGGCAGTTGGGGTGGGGCCTTAGGGGCCCGGGTGAGGATCGTGGAGCAGGCTCAGGTGAATGGGGAAGGAATCTCCCGAGGGGCTCTGATGGTGGTCAGCACGAGGCCAATGCAGGGATAGTGCGTCAGCTTAGGGACAGAGAGGGACATGTGTCTCATTCATTTTAAAGGGGATGTCGCCCATGAATAGCAGAGCCCGGTGGTGGGCATGGCACGGCGCCCCCACCATCTAATAGACACTGGTTTATGTCCATCATACCTCCAGGGCATGCCTGTATTCACCAGACCCTCACCAGTGTTCACATGGACTCCTGGATACCGTATCTGGATCCCCTCCCGGGTTAACCTTGCTGAGCCTCCCTTTCCTCCTCGGTAAATGTCGATAATGTCCCTGGGGTCTGTTGAGAGGAATAAATGATAGTTCACATAAGGCATGGTACCTGACCTGTAGTTGGCCCTCCACAAGTGTCATTGTCATGTGCTAAGACTAAAACTGGCCAGGAGCCAGCCCTTGCCTTCAGCAAACTCACAGCCTGGGGTGAGGCTGTGGAGCAGATGGATACTGACGGATGGTACAGCAAGGTTAGAGTAGTGATGGAGACCCGGGCGGGGGCTGAGCCCCTGGCCTGAGGTGGTCCAGGAGCACTTCCAGGAGGAGGAGGTGATGTCTCAGATGAGCTTTCAGGATGAGAAGAGTTAGCGCAGTGCCAGAAGAGGCAGGGAGGGGACTCGTGGCAGCAGGGCCAGCCTGGAAGCATCTGCATTCGGGGTCGAGATGGGGGAGTAGTACAGCCATTCAGCGCCTGAGGTGGGACCTGAAGGTGGAGGATGGCAAATCAAGGTGTCAGATCAGCTGCCGCTGCTGCAGGATGAAGGGACTGGGGGGTGGGGTGGTCTGGAGGCCAGTGCGGAAGCGGTTGCAGGCCCTTTCTCACCATTCCAGCTTCAGTGGGGCTCTCCTGGAGCAGACCATTTTCTCTCCTCCTGCCGTTGCCCATGCTGTTCCCTCTGCCGGTTCCGCCCTTCCCATGTCTGATCTTATGATATGGACAGATGGTGGCCACAGCCTAATAATGGTTGTGTTCTTCCATAGGTCTGCGGAGGCGTCCCCCCCGGTGGCCATCATGCGCTGTGGCGTCACATCCGCCACGCGACCCCCGAGCCGCTCCTGAGCGCGGCCGCGAGTTCGAGCTCAGGGCCCGTGAGCCCGTCGGCGCGGCCGCACCATGAGCCACGGGCCGAGCCCCCGGCTGGCCGAGTCCCCGCAGCTGTCCAAGGGCAGCCTCCTGACCATCCTGGGCAGCCCGTCGCCCGAGCGCATGGGCCCGGCGGACTCGCTGCCGCCC